GTTTTGGGGAGAAAAAGAAAAAATGAATAAATAAATAAATAAAATTAAAAAAAAACAAGACACTGCTAGAGAATGAAAAGACCAGTCACAGACAGGAAGAAAATATTTACCGTAACATATTTGATGAAGGATTTGTACCCAGAATATATAAAGAACTGTCAAAATTCCATAAGAAAGCCAACAACTCAATTAAAAAATGGGCAAAAGCACATGAAAAGATAGTCAGCATCATTAGTCATTAGGGAAATGTAAATTAAAACCACAGTGAAATACTACTATATACCTATCAGAATGGCTAAATATAAAAAGACTGTCATGCTGAGTGTTGGTGAGGATATGGAGCAATGAGAACCTACCTACAGTGCTGGTGGGTGTGTAAAATGGCCTAACCACTTTGGGAAAAAACTTGGCAGTTTCTTATAAAGTTAAATACATATCTACCGTATTACACCCAGTCATTCCACTACTAGGTCTCTACCCAAAAGGAATGAAAGCTGTCCACACAGAGACTTGTATAAGAATGTTCATGTTTTATTGTAATAGCCAAAAACTGGAAACGATCCAAGTGTCCGTCAACAGGTGAATGGATTAAACAAACTGTGGAATATCTATCTAGGTATTGGGAATATTAACCAGCAATAAAAATAGATTAATTATCGATACACAAAATAATATGGAAGAATTTCAAATAATGCTGAATGAAAGAAGCCACATCCAAAAGAGTACATACTGTATGATTCTATTTATATAAAATGTCAAAAACACAGTCTCATCTGTAGTGACAGCACGCAGGTCAGTGGTTGTATAGAGATGGGGGTAGGTGGGAAAAAAGAATTACAAAGGAAACTTTTGGCAATGACGGATATCTTCATTATATTGATGTAGTGCTGGTTTCTAAGTGTATACACATGTAAAACTTACTAACTATGCCCTTTAAACATGTGCAATTCATTTTATGCCAATTGTACCTCAACAAAGCTGTTTCAAAACATTACTAGAGACTTTTCCCAAAGATCCTTGAATTACCAGCCCTATAATTGGGCCTTGAACCATCGTTCTAATTTTCGTTGAGGTCTACTGGTGTCCCTCCTCTTCCTGCTGCCTTACATGGAATACCACTAACCTACAGTCATCTGAGCACATCCCTCGGGGACTGCCAGTAATAAAAGACTAACACCTTCTTCCAGATTACAGAGGTTCTTTCCTGATGTCATGTCACAAACTCTTTCACGTGTGGGTTCTTGGGTAGACCTGACTTGTTCCGCCTTCTCTCTTAGTGTTGTTGCCTTCCAGTTGGGCAGTGTGGCATACAGGACAGAGCAGCAAGCTAGGGGCTCTAGCACTGGGTTTGTGCTAAATGGTGTGTGATCTTGCACAAGTAGGCTACTCCTCCACTTCAGTTTTCTCATCTGTTAAAAGAGGGACTTGCATTAAAATTGATGTTTACTCAGTCTTAAGCAATGTAAGAAATGTTTGTGAACACAATGTTAAGCAAAAGACAAAGCTGGATCCAAAATTATGTATACAGTCTGGTCCTAGTCCTGTAAAAATTTTTAGAAAAAAAGCCCTATAAGGATATGTGTATGTGTGTGTGTGCAAGTGCGCACGTGTGTAATTGCATTGGTAGGATTATGGGTGACTTTGTTGTTTCTTTAGCTTTTTTATGTACTGTTCAAATTTTCTACAATGTGAGTGTGTTACTTTATATAATTGGGGAAAACTAAGAAAAAAAATTAAGGGACTTTCCTTGAGACTCCAATATTCCGAGTTGCTGAAACATCTCAACAGCATGAGAAACTAAATAAAAACCAGGAGACTGAAGTTCACTTTGCGTATCCCATTTAGTCCTGGGCATTCAGGAAGGGGTGAATTCAGCCTTTCCGAAGCTGACATCCTGATGATGGCAGATTGCTCAGGGCTCTGAGCTGACGTTTGGATGCAACGAAAGTCCTTCTCTGCTGTGATTATGGACATAATCATGCACCCACCTGGCTCTGGGAAGGAAAAACTTGAAGGGAGTGATTCTAGATCTGAGTTTGGAGATTGATCGAATAGGCCTAAATAGGTCATATCAAATGAGGATCTAGTTTCTTCCTCTGGCTTCTGCTTGTGCAATAGGAAAAGGGTGATATTTTCAACAGATGGCCTGATCTAAGGTGATTCCAGAACTTGGCTCTTCCTTGCTGCCAGAGGCCCCTCTCTGTGGTGTCTGCCTGGCCCTACGTTCTTGTTTCTGGCGAACAGGGTCATCTAATTAAGACATCTGTGAAAGGTGTCCTCACGGGAAAAGGATTTTGACTGTAAATCTTGAATCACAAAAGGAGATGAAAAAATGCTACACGCTTCCCCAGGCCAGCCGTCAGATAATTGTCCTTTCGTGATTTGACCGTAGGAGACTGGTATTTCCCCATAAACAAGGAAAATGGTGCATCACAAACCACTTGTCCAGGAGGAAATCTCTGGAAGTTGTTCTCAGACCCAGAAATGATATAGACATGACAAGTAAGCACAGTGGTCAAATAAGTTAGCCAACTTCCATTATCATCATCAATTATCTTTTCTCAAATATCACTTGATAACAGCATACCCACTAATTCCTTCCTTGGTACCTCAGAAACTTCAGCCACTAAAACAAACCCCACCTAGAATCTGGAGCCTTAGGGAATGAAGTGCAATTTCTCTCAGGTTCCTCTTGAAGTTTCAGATACTGGGACTAAGAAAGTTCAGGGTAAAGAATTTGGGGCCAGAGGCTTTTCATTGTTGATTTTCTTACTGAGACTTTAGAATCTCAAAGCTCTCAGTTTCACCCTTTCTTTTCTACCATGAGAACAATTTATGTCATAATATGCCTCTACTATTCCACACAGGATTCAAGACTTATTTATGACTCAAATCCTTTAACCAAGGGACCATGGACCAAGCATGGCTGGATGAGGTGCTAGCAGCAGGGTGGGTGAGCCCATACTTTGTAGAATTTTGACCTGCTACTGTCCCTGAAGCCCTTAGGAAGACATTGATGCTCTTAATCCTTGCTTTGTGGAGCTCCATGAGCAGCCTGGAATTTGCTGAGCATATTGTCCAGAGACAACTCTTCTTTTCCAACCATGCTCTGCTTTCCATCCATCGTGAATTTTTTATCTCATCAGTCCTTCAGTTAAACACTGAAAACTTTATATTACTTCTAGTTGCCCTTTTTGCTGTAACTGGAAAAGAGATTAGAACTACATCTAGTATCCACTTGAAGAAATTCTCTTGTTATGGATCTCTGTTACAATTAGGTCTCCTTCAGTTGTATTATCTCTTATCTATCATGTTTTTTATATATTTGAAAGATACTTAAAACTGCATTCTTTATCCCCTGGGCACATCCTAAGAGCTGGAATTCACCAATGTGTATCAATCTTTTCCAGAAAATAATGCAAATGCAATAAGGTCTGACTCTGAGTCTTCGTATTTGAAGCTCCAAGAGCAACCGTGAAGAGGAGAGTCCCTGAGGGGGTTCTTCCATGAGAGTAGGATGTTCAGTTGACACACTTGGAGACTGAGGGCACAGAATAAAGGAGATCTTGACAGACCATGTGGAGTTAAGAATAGAGTGTGCTTTGGGAGGGTGGCCTGAATAATAATTGCTAATATTTATTGAACATTTACTATGCTTCAGGCAGGCTCTAAGCATTTTACACGTGTAACTCAAACTTCATATCAAAACTTATTATCATTTCAGGTTACCAGTGGAGAAACTGAGGCACAGAGACATTGTTCAAATATACTGAAGGTTACAGAGCTAGGTAGTATCAGAGCTGAGTGTCAAACCCAGGCAGTCTGTCCCCGAAGTCCAGATTCTTAACCAATATGCTTATTGCCTGCCCAACTTGGGTTGATAGTGTACAGGAAATTTGTATGAGATCCAAGATCAGAGGTCAAGGAAGATAACCTTTGCTCTTTCCAGTTTTCCTAGGAGCCTCTGCCTGAGGGCTTGTGCCTGTCAATAGCCTGTCAGCAGAGGAATGGGTTCCCAGTGATAAATGTGCCAGGGAAGGTTCTATATCAGTCACGGCGCAGGAGTGGACCCACAAACAGCTAGGCACCTCTTACGGAGCTGCACTGAGACTGCAGCCTTGGTCATTCCATCGGGAACTAACCAAAATGGTGCCTTTACATAGAGGCAAACCTTAGTCCAGGCACGTCAAGAGAGGCCACTCCTTCCTCTCTTGGTGTAGGAAAGAGCAGGGGCTTTGAGCTTGGATAATTCTGGATTAAATTCCCAGCTCCATATGTCACATAGTGGTATATAATCTCTTAAAGCCGCAATTCTTCAATGTGTAAAGTGGTACGACTGTGAAGGCCAAGTGTAATATGTAATAAAGCAGGTGCCTGGCAAATAGATCTTCAGAACATCATCCAGCATCCCCTTGCTCCTCCTCCCAATGTGTTCAAACAGAGCACGTGAATATTGTTGAAAGTCAACCAGAGCACTCTCTTACCCACTTGCCCTCCCCCTGCCAGCCATCCACTGGTAGAGTCATCTGTACCTCAGCCCTAGAGCCATCTCTTTACATTCTCTCTCTCGCTCTCTGTCTCCCTCTCTCTCTCTCTCTCTCTCTCTCACACACACACACACACACATACACACACCCACACCCACACCCACACACACACACACACACACACACACACACAGTCAAACCCCTATCATACAGCTTCTCCTTAGAAGGTTCCCCTTTTCCCCTCTCTGGCCAGGCAGACCTGTCAGAAGTAAACATTTAATGAACTGTCCTGAGTCTGGATCTGCCCTTGCTATCAAGTGAAGCAAGAATCTTTGTCCAGCCTCAGAAGCCTAGTACATTTGAGTGGTGGGGACCCCAGAGATGGAGGCAGACAAGATCTGCCCAACGGCATACAATTATATGAAAAACAAAACTGCTGGTTAGGTTTCTGCCTCCACCCAAGGATGAGGTATTCCCAACTCCTCCCTCGAAACTTGTATTCCAAAGACTCACCGGTATCAGGGGCACAGGCCTCATCTGCTTTGGCAGCATTATCCGCATTCTGAATGCTGGACTCTGGGGAACAGACAGAAGATGCAAAGACCAGTCCATACCCTCCAGCTTCTTAGAGGGGCAGGGGCAGACCTTCTCCTGAGGTCTGGATCACTTAGGTTGTATCAGTGTCTCTGAGTGTCAGCTGGGTTCATGCTCACTTATTGGGGTTGGCTGTGTCTCCCTCATTATAGCCGAAGCTCCAGGAAAAAGTGCCCCCTCCTTACTCTTCCTCTGACACTGCCAGGCTAGTCCCAGAATGGATACTCAAGCTGAATGTGCTTCATTCATGGACTGGCAGCCTTGATAGGAGGCTCTCTCCACCTGCCATATGTTAGTCTGTGCCTCTTCTTTCCCCCATCCTCCCCTCTGATCCTGAGTGGCAGGAATTATGTCCCTTTTTATTCCTCTTACTGAGAGAGTCATCAGACAAGACTTCCTTTGAGCCTATATGAGGAAAGGAGTCCTCATCCCCTGGTCCCCATTTCCCACCCTATACAGAAGTCCCTGGCTCAGGGGACCCCCTAGGAGTGCAGCCATGGCTGTGGCAAGTGGATTAGAGCTACAAAAATCTCCCTTCTATCTTGGGGAACTCTGGTCTATGTACCTGGGCCACTGGCCTCGCTGTTGCTGGTCTCCTCCTTTGGGTGGTCAGGGATCTCTTGTCTGGGCTTCTGGCTGAAGGCCAGGAAGAGGTGCGTGCTCAGTGGCTGAGGCAGGTCCACCTCCAGGTATGCCCTCATGAACAGCTTGAAGACCTCATAGCCAACTGGCTGAGAAAGGACAAAGAGGGAAAAGTCAGTGGAGAGAAGCAAGGAGACAGAAGAGGGAGAGGAGGAAAAGGAATCGGGGAACTGGCAGGCGAGAGAAGTGGAAAGGGAAGCAGAAGAAAGCGTAGTGATTGGTGGGGCAGGAATGAAAAGGCCAGGGAGGTGATAGAGAATGACAGGCACAGAGAGCAGAGAGTAGGATATAAGAAAGAGAAGACACTGGTGGTTGCACATTGAGGTTTGGGGGGGTGGGCCTGGTGCCACAGGAGGCTTTTGGAACAAGACACATCTAAATTTAGGTAGAAAAGGGGTGAGGGAGAGTGAGCGCTGGGGAGGAGGCCACAGGGGAGGGTCACTGCCTCAGTCCAGGCCCATGAGAGGGACTTGTCTGTAATGAGCAGGACTAGGTCAGTGCCCCGGAATCCAAGGGAAGATGAAGAAGGATGTAGTTGGAAACACGATGGAAAGAAATGGCTTTTTTGTAGTATCTCGATTTCCTGCCTGTGCTGTGAGGGATGTGATTCCTGAGTATTCAGGTCTCAGAAAAGGGGAAAGACCTGGAAGAGAAAGAGACAGGCTCCATCCTTCATTACTTTCATAACTGACCTTCCCTGGACAAGCCTCAAGGTAACAGGGGAGGGTGTGCGTCTGGCTCAGCGGCTCTCAAAACATGTCCTTGTGAAGGTTTTAGGCACCGGGAAAAGAGCCGGAAGCCAAGGACAGAAGGTAGAACCAAGAAACATGCCAAAAACTAGAACCTCTCCCTGCTGTATCTCTCCCAGTGCTGCCTGGCTTCTGGCCCCAGGCTGGGAGCCACCATGCCAGGCAGGGCTGCTTCACTCAGCAAACACTCAACAACAACAGTTTGCAGTGAGTCATCACTGGCTTGTGCTTTGATGGCATCAGATTCTTCATCAAATCGGCAGATGCTCCTGGAAATCATTTGAGGAAGAACTACTTCAAGATCTGCTGTGCAGGCTTTTGTGAATAATCACAGCCATGAGAATAAAATCCCTTTCCGGGAGCCTACTCGGCTCTCCTTCCAAAACGTTATAGCATTTAACCTCTTGTCTCTTCAGGCAGATCTGGGAGCCTTCCCAGACGAGAAGCTGGCATGTGTACAATCAGGTTTGGAATACAAAGTCTTGGCCCTAAAAACAAGTGATGCCCTCCCGACCCCACTGGGAGGGAGCTCCCAAGGCAGTTTCTACTTAGCTCCCTGCTAGACTGTTCTATACATCTCCTTTGCAGAGTGGAAGAAGCTTGATTCGTTTGGACAGAGGGTAACGTGGGCTCTTATCAGATGAAGAGACCTCTAAGCAAATGGTGGACTCACATTTCTTTGTGACAGTTACCAATCTCTCTGTCTCTACCTGTCTGTCTTTTCTATCTCTGAGTCTCTGCGTGTCTCTCTTTCATCCTCTTTCTGTCCCTCTCTGTCTCCACAGCCTCATCACCTCAGAATGTCTCTTCCTCAACACCCTTCTCCTTTCCCTCAGTACACAAGAGCAAAGCCTTTTCCTCCTGCTTTCCAAATGGAATCCACCACTTTGACCTTTGACTCTACCCTCTCTGTCTGTGATGGCGTCTCCCAACATCTGCGTCTCTCCTACCTGCAGGCATGTTCAAGGTCACTATTTCAAAGAAATTGGTGGCTGCTTGAGCTACTAGCCTGTCCTTCCTCCCTTCCCCTTCAAATTTCTCCAGACAACAGTAGCCTCCTCACCTCCTTAATCTCATTCAGTTTGGATTCTAGCCCATCACTTCTGAACTTGCTCTCTTGAGGGTCACAAATCCAATTGTCTCTTTTTACACTTTCTCATCTCTGGCTTCTCTGCAGCATTCCAATCTCTCACGTTGAAACTCTCTATTTTCCATGGTGTTGTGCTATTTTGGATCACTTCTGCTTTGATTTGACTATTTGCTGAGAGCACTTTATTTCCTTTAAAAGGTTCTTTTACATTGTCATTCTATTTTAATTGACAAGTATTGTTTTACAATGTAGTTTTGAGTTCCAAAATGTCCTGTTAATCTTTTTTGGTTAGCATCAAATTGAAAACTATCAGCATAAAATATTTCTGGAAAACAGACTGTACTAAATGATTTAATAAAAAGAAAGTTCAGTTAAACAAAGTCTAACATAATGCTTTAAAAAAAACCAAAGCTGAAGGATCATCAAATGAGATCAAGAGACCTCATGACTGGTCTCAGCTCTACCATATTTTCCCCCTTTTATGAACCTAAGTTTCTTCTTTAGCAAATCGTGAGTGCTGGACTAGAAGATCTCAGGCTCTACACGTCTATTAGCTGCCTCTCTAAACCAGGCCCTCTTCCTGACCTGGCAGTTTCTGTTAATGTCAATGACACCATTATTCTCCCAATACTCCAGGCTCAGCTTTGAACTCCTAGTCATCTGAGACTAGTTCTTGTCCCTTCCTTCTGTTCACTGTTCTTTTGCAACATCTGTCACATCCAGGTCTTTTTTGTGTCCATTGTCCTTCTGCCACCACCCTGACAAGGGGTCTATTGAAGGCCCCAAAGTTCCTGGTTTCAGACTTCTGTTTCATGCATCCTACCAGATCAGCGCAGTATCTCTTAAAGGCTTCTTTGCTTCCACCTCTATTTGTTGGTCCTCCCATCTTATTCATCTTTGCCAGGTTGATCTTCCCAAAGCAAAATTCTGATCAGATTGCTTCCCTACTCAAAAACCTTCCATGGTTTCTAATTGCCCATTGGAGAGTTGAGATCATTTGTCTCCAAACTTTTAAAATCAGGTGCTCTCTATTACATTTTTGAGCGTGTGTTTCCACTTATCTTCATTTATAATTATATACATGTACCACTATGCTCTTCTACTGGACGTTATAAAACATACACAAAAAATAAGTTAGAAAATAGAAATTAGATTAGATAAAAATCAGTGTAAATAGAAGGTCTAATAGGTAGTGTTCCCACAGTCCAATGGATCATCTTGTGCATCTTCTGAGCCTTTTGGGATTCACAGCCCTTCCATAATCCCACTCCAACCTAGATTTGTGGCCACTTCAAGCTCTGAGACCCTTAAGTCTTTTCTCCTATTATTCCTCATGTATACCTCCATAGTTTGTCCAGACTGTCTTCTGTGTTCTTTCCTGGCCCAACTTCCGTGCACTTTACGTGAACTGCTTCCTTCTCCACTTGTTAAAATTCTAGCTATCCTTTAAGCCCCAACCCAGATGCCACCTCCTCCAGGAAGTCTGGTATGATCTCCTATGCCTGAATTGTTATACTTTTCGACCTTGGTTCCTGTCTAGGGACACTCATATCTGCTGCCCTCTATTAACGTATAGTTGTTTGTGACATACCTTAGTTCCTCATCTAGATCTAGAGTTCCTGGGAGGTAGTGAAATGTCTTATTTCATCTTTGTATCCGCCATCCCATCTATCACAGTGTTTCCTGATAGGCATTTTAATGGATGTTGGGTTTCTAATTGGTACACTTGACTGTGACCAATTATTGTAGAGTTCATTCAGTCAACATACATGCACTGAGTCTCCTAGGTACAAGACGCAGAGCTGGGCACCAATGAGGGTCACGCCGGTGAATTAGGCATGGGTCCATACCTTCAAGAGACTCAGCAATATATGGTAAAAGGATTGAAATAACTGTAATATAGAGTCAGCAGTGGTGAGTGCTCTAGGAAAAGAACTGACAAACTGTTATGAGAACTTATGAAACAATGATGATTGAACACATGTCCATCCATTTATGTCCCTATCCTGGGGAACAGGATGGCATAGAATAAGCACAGAAACACAGAGCATTCACCCCAGAAGAGCTCAGGGGACTAGATCTCCTTATGTGGCTGAGGATCTGGGAGTTCAGTGATTGCACCAGCCAGCTAGCGGCAGAGTAAAACCAGAAACCCAGTCTGACTCCTAGTCCAGTGCTCCTGCTACTGTATCTGTCACAGGTCCCAGTGCTGATGTCACACTCCCTGCACTCCTTCTAAGCACCCAAAGATCAGTAGGCAAAGAGATGTGACTATGTGCCACTCTCAAAGTGATATCTGGGTTATGAGAGAGTGAGTTCTTTATGAGCACGGGTCAGGCTCAGAGTAACTGCTTAGTAAACGTGTGATGGGTAGAGAGTAGCTGGGTACCATTCCCAAACCAGATAACCAACCACTATGAGGCACGTTGGCAATCCTCTGAGCCCTGGAGTAATATCCTCGGCACTGCCATTGTTCAGGCCTGTTTTTTTCCCAGAAACTGCAACTTTCATGCAAGAACTAGCTGGGCAATTGCCTTTGCTGCAATCTGTTTAAAGAAAGTTATTTCTTACCCAGGTCAGGAAGGGAAGAGAACTAGATGGAGAGTTTACTGTGCATCAGGCATGTTACATCTGTGATCTCACTTAAGTCGCATAACAACAATGTGAGGGAGGACTATGACAGTCATTTTGTGGATGAAAAAATTCTGAGAACATAAATAACTTGCTCAAAGTCATAACGCAAGTAAGAGAGCTGGGCTTTATGCTTAGATGTGTCTGAGTCTAAGGTCATGATGCAACAAAACCACCCGCCCCTTTGGCTCCCCTGTATTCTTGTCCACCTTCTGGTTGTCTTCAGCTGCACACTATTCTCCAGAGAATCATTCAGTGCTGATAGGTAAGGGCATGCTTGTCAGGACCAGATGCAGCCCTGCCACTCTGCAAGCTTTTATGCCTGGCCTCGCTTTTCCAGCAACCTGCCCCTTCCCACAGCTAATTCATTTCTTGTTGAGACATTTTAGCAGCAGTGAGCCATCAAGCTCGAGAGAAATTAAACCCTTGTTGTTTCCCCAACCCCGTGCCGGGACATTACACCTACTAGAAGCCAGCCACACTGTGAGAAAGAATGAAAATCAGAGTGACAAGCTCTCCTGGGACACAATGGTGCCAGGCATACAGAGTGGGGGCCAGCCTGATGGAGGTGGGGGTGGCAGCCTGCTCATAACAGCCAAGCTGCTCCCTGCTTCTGAAAGCTCCTGTGGCCTTCACACCCTCGGTGGCCTTGACCAAATTGTTCCCCTCCCACTCATCAGCCCCAGGGCGGACGGGCTGATTAGCAGCCCCCGCCAGTCTTTGTTCCTGTGTTTTTGGAGTTGGGGGTAGACGGTTGGGGGGAGGGGGTAGCAGCAAGTTCTTTGCTGGCTCTGCCATCTTCTCTGCATGGCTTCTCCTCAGGAATGTTCTTTGAAACCGTGCATTCTCAATCTGGCTCCTGTTCCAGGAACCTTTCTCCTACTTCATTCTCCTGGTGATTGGTGCATTTTATCCAAAGCCCCTCTCAGGTGTACCCCGAGGGCATGGACTCTGTTGATTCACTACCAGTACCCAGCAGAGAAGGAGTTGACTCAAGGTTTGTGGAAAGGATGACAATATGAATAATAAGCGGCTAGCCTCATCCCAAGTTTGTCCTGCTGATCAGTCACTTTTCTGCAATTAGCTCTCATAAAAGGACCCAGGAGCAGGGAAGAGGGAGTTGAGTTTAAAATATTCAGGGGAAAGGGGAATAATAATGAGTACCATTTTTTAAGTGTCTTGTAAAGCGTTAGACACTTTGCAAAAATTATCTCATTTAATCCACTGATCTGCAGACTTCAGGGTCTTTCTTTGGTTGTTGTTATCTTCAGGTTACAGATGAGGAAATTGAGGCTCATAAAGGTGAAATATTATTCAAAGTCACAGTGCTGGTTGGCAGGTAGGAGTCTAACCTAAGACCACTTGACTCCAGCGTCATGGTTCTTAAACTTGACCCTGCCAGTAGGAAATAAGTTCCAGAGGGCAGGAACTGTGCTTCCTCATCTTAGTATCTTCTGCAGTGCCCAGCACAGTGCCTGGATGCTCAAGAAATATTATATGAGTTGAATTTGAAAGTAAGGGAGGTCTTGCATTCATTTTTACATTCAACGAATATTTGTTGAGTGCCTGCTATGAGCCAGATACTCTTCTGAGCACTGAGGATACAGCAGTGAACAAAAATGTTCTAGTGGGAGAGAGGGACAATTAAATAAATAAGTTATATAGTGTGACAGATGGTGAGAAGTACTAAGGAAGAAAATAAGGCAGAACAGGAGGATAAGCGGTGTCAGGAAAGAGGGCTTAACATTTTAGATAGAGAAGGTGACATTCACTGAGAAGGCGATTTAAGCAAACACTTGAAGGAGGCGAGGGGAGGAACAATGTGGATATCAGGGGAAGGAACACGGCAGGAAGAGGCAAAAGCAACTGCACAGGTGCTGAGGTTAGAGCAATTTTGTCTTGTTTGACAGAATCAAGGAGGCTGATATGGCTGAAAAGGAAGGAGAAGAAGGAGAGTAGCAAGAAATGAGGTCAGAGAGTAGGGAGAGGTACAGATTGTAATGATCTTTTTTTTTTTTTAAGATTGGCACCTGACATGAGCTAACATCTGTTGCCAATCTTTTTCTTTTTTTTCTTCTTCTTCTCCCCAAAGCCCCCCAGTACATAGTTGTATATTCGAGTTGTACGTCCTTCTGGTTCTGTTATGTGTGACGCCACCTGAGCATGGCTTGATAAGCGGTATTAGGTCCGTATCCAGGATCCGAACCAGCAAAACCCTAGGGCTGCTGAAGTGGAGTGTGTGAACTTGACCACTTGGCCACTGGGCTGGCCCTGTAATGATCTTGATTTCAACTCTGAGTAGGAGGTAGGGGGAACCATCAGAGATTGTCAAGCAGAGTAGTGACATGATCTGACTTAAGTTTTAACAGATTGCTTAGGATGTGTGTGAAGAATAGACATTAAAGGTCAAGATCAGAAACAGGGTGCCCAGTTAGGAGACTACTGCAATAATCTTGGCAAAATATAATGGTGTCTCGGGTCAGGATGGAAGCAGTGCTGGTGGTGAGAGGTGGCTAGATTTTGGGTATATTTTGAAAGTAGAAGTGACGGGGTTTGTTGATGAATTGGACGTGGGATGTGAGAGAAAGAGAAAAGTCAATGATGACTCCATAGTTTTAGGTTGAATAACTTGAAGAATAGAGTTGTCATTTACTGAACTGTGAAAGACTCTTGGAAAACCAGATTTCAAAGGGAAGATCAAGGAGCTCAGTTCAGCTCATGTTAAGTTTGAGATGCCTGTCTGATTTTTTAAGTGAAAATGTCAGATAGAGGGGAAAGAGGAAAATCAGAGAGTGTAGTGTCTTAAAAACCAAGTGAAGAGTGTAGAGGAGGATTTCACCAACTGTGTCCAGTGCTGTTGAGTAAAATGGCTATTGAATTTAGCCATGTGGAAGTCCTTGGCTATCTTGACTAATGATTTTAGAGGAGGGGTGCAGGTTACACTCTGATTGAAGGGCTTTCAAGACAGTGGGAAGAAGAGAAATTGGAGACCATGAGTATAGACAAATCTTTTGCACAGCTTTGCTGTAAAGGACAGGAAAGAAATGAGGTGGTAGCTTGAGGGAGAAGTGAGGTCAGGAGAATGTTTTTTAATGTAGGAGAAATAACAGTATGTTTATATGTTGATGAGAAAAATCTAACATATAAGAGAAAGCTGATGTGAAGGAGATAGAATAGAGAGAAATAGGGAAACAGAGAGATAGAGATAGAAATAGGTAGAGGTAGAGATAGACAGACATAGAGAGGAATGCATTGCTGAAGCAATGCCTGTCAAGAGACCAAAAGAGGATAGGATTGAATGGACAAGTGGAGGGTTGGACTTAACGAAAGCATGGAGAGCTCATTCCTAGTTACAGGAGGAAAGGTATGTAGGTGGGCGAGGATCTTGTGGAAGATCTCTTCTGATTGTTTCTATTTTATCAGTGAAGTAGAAAACAGTTGATAACTGAGAATGAGGAGAGGAGTGAGAGATTTGAGGAAAGGGGAGAGGGTATGATGTAGTCTTCTAGGACAGTGAGAGGGTGAACGGAGATGGGAAACATACAACTCCAGCTAGTACCAATGGCTCACTTGAGACTTAGGAGAAAATACATTGAGAAGCAAGTTCTCAATGAACTAAGGTGAGCTAAACTTCCAAGAGGGGAACATATTATGGAAAAGCTGGGACATGAGGTTTTTTAAAGGCATGAAATGGAAATTTTCTTACCTCATGTGGGTCATATTGTTTGAGGCTCCCACCCTCATTAAATTCAGCCAAGACATCCTTTATCTTCTTGGAAGAATCTGGAGAGACATAATGCACATGTGAAACATTGGTGAACAGCTAATGAGAGATGGCCAAGAAAATTCTCTCTGTCTAACCTTGTTAATGATGAAGTGGCCCCTCATTTCCAGGACCATATGAAGAAATGTCACCTTTATCTGGCCTTCTGTCCTCTCATTTCTTTTTTTCGGTATATTCTCTCTTGCTGTAGGACCTATCTTTCTAAAACAAAAATCTGATCAGATCATGTCCCTGCTCAAAACCCTTCAATGGTTCTCCATTTTTCCAGGATAAAGCCTAACCCACTTAGTGTGGTGTTCAAGTACTTGGTGATCTTATCTAGCCTGTTCTTTATCTCTTACCTTAACCTTCCATTCACCCCACTTTTCAGCCACATCAAATTGCATTTCCAGAAATGCCTGAATATACTGTGTACTCTTTCATGGAGTCTCTTCTCTGTATTGCAAACTTCACTCAATTCTCAGTACCCAGCTCAAATGTCAACTCCTTGGTAAAGTCTTCCTTTACCAGTCAGAGTTAATCATTTCTTCCCCTGGCTCATACATAACTCTGTAAATAGCACTTGTCATATAGTGTTATAATTACTTACTAACTTTCCTCTTGCTCATCTCCTGCCTCAGTTCTACCTTGAGAGCGGTAAATGTAACTCAAAAAGTGAGCCTTGGATATACACCAAGGTTTGACAGATAACTAGTGTTCAGAAAAGCAATATATTAGATGGTTGAAAAAACATCTGAGCAGAAATTTTAAAATATTAAAAATTTTGTTAATTAAATAGGAGGGGTGGGCATCAAGCCCAGTGGGGCTCTGTCCTTGGTGCTGAAACAGAGACTCAGGGTTCATGAAGCATGGTGGTTTAGAAAATTCTATTTTCCATAAAAAATAACTCAGAAACTACTGGAGAAAATGGTGGCTTCTTTTTTCTGAAGTTCTGTAAGGGAATTGGGATTCAAGAAAATAGAGTCAATAATTGTCATTATAAACACATCCTGAGTGCATTCTGTGTAGTTACCAGCACTCTAGATATCAAAAAAAACCAGGGTTTCTGTGCTTTCTCTGTCTTTCAATATTGTGGATAATTAAGAGCTTCCAAAACTCCATTATTGTCACTATTTAAACATCTGAGCAAAGGGCAAGGTCATTAAAAGCTGACATAATGTTCTTTTGTGTTCAGGCTCTTTGTATAGATGGCTTTGCTCTCTTAGGCCTATGTAAAGTAGATGTGCTCACAGTCTGGGATGTTCTCCATGGCTTTGCTGACTTGGATTCAATCAAGCACAAGTTATAATCATTTCAGGATTGAGACATATTGAAATGCCACAGGAAAATACTGCTGTTGCCTAAAAATGGACATTTCTTTCTGAAATTCAAAACAGATGTCGAAAAACTAATAGCTCAGTAAGAGCCAGGCAGCAGATGCCATCAATTTGGGCTGCTTCCATTCAATTCAGAAAACACTATGGAGGGTAAGATGCTGCAAGGTACTGTTGATGAACTAGTTGAGGAGATGATCCGAATCACTGTGGTAATAATAGCTACTCTGTATTGGGGACATTTACTGCATATTCTCATATATTCTCCCCTACCAATTCATACAAATTTGGTAATATTTTCTTCAGTTTATAGGTGAAGAAGTTGAAATTCAGAAAAATCAAGCGATTGTCTAAGAATCAGGGTTTTAACTCAGGTCTAGTCAGGCTCAAAAGTCTATATTACTTAAGCACAATTCACTATTACTTCACAAACACTTACTAACATGAGGAAAAGTGTAATTAATTCTGTGGCAATGATATGAAACTCTATGAAGCACAGAGCATGGAAGAAGTAAAATGAAGAGGGAGAAACTAAAATCAACGTGAGAGTGGTTTTGGGGTGGGGACTGGGGATGCCCTATGAGGGAGGTAGCATTTGAGCTGTGATGTCAAGAGTGGGTAAGGTTTTGAAAGTCAGACATGACGTGGAAAGGGTATTCTCAGAAGGGACAGGGTGAACAAAGGTGTGGAGATGGACACCACTGTACATTTAGGAGAAGTTAAAATCAGAGAGTAGTTTGGGGCAAGATTTGAATATCAAGTTAAGAACACTGATTTGAAGTTGTTAAAGATTTTTTGAGTAGTGGAATGACATAACCAGGTCTCTGTTTTCTAAAGGCAACTCTGGCAACAGAATGAAAGAGAGTTTAGAATTGGCCAGAGCTAAGTTAATGTCACACATAAATTATATTTAAGTTATTCTATGAACAGCTTAATTGTTTAGAAAAAAAATCTATATTTTAGAATCTATTTTACGGGGAGATTTTCAGCTCAGAAAGAGTGGTCAAGTTTAAAAAAAAATGTGCAAATTTTTGAGCATGGGTACTCCTGGTATGGCTTCTGTAAGAGAAGCGTAGAGCCAGCATTTTGGTTGAAAACCAGGATAGTGATTTCACTTGGGTTTATACCCTTTTAATGTTATTAATGTTATTGTCACATTTTGGAGATTCCACAGTTCATCCTAGCAGAAATCCTTTGGTTTTAAGTGCAATTGATCTAATCCTGCTTTATATTTAAATGTATGAGATATATATATATATATATATATATATATATATATACATACTTATACACACTTATGTGTATATATAAATATATAAAAACATATGCACATATATTCATCATATGTTCACATTCAAGTAAACAAGTTTTAAAAAGAAAAAAACACAGAAGGCGTTTATTTTAAAATTTCTGATTAATAGACTAAAATTAAATGGAAAAAAAATAATCCAAGAGATTTCTGGCTCCTAGATTTCCATGAAGGGTGTTCCTCACCACATGTTTACTTTAATTTGTTCCATAGGTTTTTATGAGCTCATAGCATAAACACATTCCCCTTTTAGAAAAAGGAAACTAGCTAACTCTCAAATTTGATAGCTATACTTTCTCCTTGGATGTCCTTTGATACTTTTCCACAGTTTTCTTCTCAACAGATTTTTGGGCTGGGTTTCTCTTTCCATGAGGGGGTACTGCTTCATTCTGTTTTGTCTTAAGACAGTTAGGAACAATGAGTGGCTTCTGCAGAGCATTCCCGATCTGACTTCTGGCTCCACCTGTGGGCCCAATAGCACAGCCTCAGTAGAGAACTCCCTGTCAAAGCCTTTATGGTAACACCACCAGCAGACTCAGAGGAGATCGAATTCCATGTACAAAGTAGGGCCATGTCCACAGTTCTTTACAACAACTCCTACTTTGTTGAGTGCTTACTATACGCTAAGCACTGTACCAGTCATCTTAATTATGTTATTTAAATCTTCACAACTACCCTCTTATGTAATAATTATCCCTATTTTAGAGAAGGGGAAACTGAGGTATACAGAATTTAAGTGATTCTTTCAAGGCCACACAGCCAGCGAGGGGTCACTCATTTTTAACATATCTAATAATGTGACATAGCTATTAGATTCACTGGATACAGGACCACTGGTAACTCAGAAGATAAGGCCCTTCCTCTATGACAGTGGCTCTCCAATCTGGCTGCACGTTAGAATCACCTCAGGACCCCTGTACACACTGAAACCCAGGCCTCACCCCAGACCAATTAAGTCAGCATCTCTTGGAGAACCCAGGAATCAGTATATTTCAAAGCTTCCTGGGGGTTCAAATGTACAGTCAAGGCTGAGAACTGCTGTCCTACGATGTAACTATATTGCTAGAAATGAAGACTGGCTTAAGAAGCAGCTGAACTTGTTGGATAATGACTGCAAAAGGAAGAAAGTTTATAACTCTGCTAAACCTAAAATCACTGTGCTTGGCAGACACTCCTCATTGCTTAAGTGAACAGCACTAAAGAACTCCAACCAACAGGTCAATTATTCAGCTGCGTGGCAAGGCAGCAGTCTGTTTTGCATTAGCCCACACTGGCAGGACCATCAGGATGCAGTTTTACCCCAAATCAGCACTGCAGAAGGCTCTTCTCTGGGACCAAGGTCATGAGTGGTAACAACTATCGTAAGAAGTTTCAATCCAAAATTGTCTCTTTATGCTTTATGTGCCAAGAATTCTGGGATCTTAACCAAGCACTTGCTCCTGGTGTTTGAACAAATTCAGAGCCTTTTTAAGGAGAAAATTTGGCCCTACTCACAAGCACCTTTGCTGCCACATTTGTGTGGAACAGAGATGCCCTCTGTCTGAACAAGCAGACAAATCAGGAGCTTCAGTGTTTACAGCAGAACATCAGCTTACTGAACCAGAACCCAAAGTTTATGGACCATTTTCTAGGGAAGAACACTGAGTGGCTGAGCACTAGTCAGACTGTTAAACTTTGAAATAACTGTAAGTCAACATTTTCCAGAGTGAATCCGAAAACCTACAGATGAGAGTGAAATTCTTATTTAAGGTGCATGATCACTCTCTATTCCTCAACATTCCCTAAGAGAGTCTCAAACTGTAACATGCATATGAATTGCCTGGGGATCAGGTTTAAATGCAGATTCTGATTCAGTAGGTGCAGGTCAGGCCCTGAGATTCTATATTTCAAATGAGATCCTCGGTGACACCAATTATGCAGGTCCATAGAGCTCATTTTTGATGAGCAGACCTTAAGCAACATTCTTATACATCTGTGGCGGACAAGTAAGGCTTGTCTGTCACAACATGGAAAAAACATGATTCTGAGGCAGGAGGGACATATTCCACAGATTAGGAAGACCATAAATGACTCTCAACCCAAGGAGAGAAAGACACAGAAAGGGGAGAAGGGAAAGTAGGCACATGAGGGGAAAAAAACCCAACCTAGATTAGATTTTCCTTCTTCTGATGAAGGCTGGGATATATGAATAAGTTTTCTAAGTACACTAGGGAGTCAAGAATACAGTGAGATTCACAAAAGCAAGAATGGGGTTTCCAAAGGGTCCTGGATACACAGAGGATGATGTCAGAATAGAGATGCCAGGGCCAGGAGCACTGCACTAAAAGGTCCACCTTTTCAGATGGAAGGAATCAAGACCCAGAGTGGAATGTGGGAA